TCAGCCACCTGATTTATGCATGTGTGATTCACTCCTCTTATTGTACAAAAGTTTTTGTATTAGTATTCCTGGATGTGCCTTAAAAACAATATTTTTGCACATTTTATCTTTTTAATGCACTTTTTGCACATTTTATCTTTTAAAATCATTTTTTCACACGCAGGGCCCATGAACAAAAAACGTCATTGATCTAAACCTCCCTGATCCAATCCTCGCTTTTGTTTTGATGATTGGATGTTTGTCTGTGGGACAGGTTTGTCAGTCCTTTGAGGATTAGTTCAAGTGAGGTGATCGTCTTCGAAAGGTTTCTTGTGGAATCAATTGGTTTTGATGCCGCATCCAAGTCTTCGTCAGAACTTGTCAAGTTTTGTGGCGTGAAGATGCGCCTGTGGAAGCCAGAGGCTTTCTTTGAGGAGAGCGTTGAATGTCAAATGTCAGAGGAATCAGAGGAATTAGATAGATTTTGATGAGTCTGAGGTTTTCGAGGTCGGTCGAATGTCTCTTGAAGAGAAGATTGAAATCGGAGATCAGAAGGTCTTATTGGCAAAGCCATGGAGGTCTGGAGATTCAGAGTGATTGCAATTTCTATTCTATTCTGTTTTGTGTGTGGTTCAAGCTTGCTGTGCTTGCTGTGCTAGCTGACTGCTTGTATCCGCAGCCATTTCGGACGCGTGATGGCCATGGAAGCAGCGTTGAGCATGCTGGATGGTCGTGAATTGGAAATTCTTTTGGCAGTGATTTTCAGCATGGGGATCTTTACTGGATTTGTGCTGAGTCAAGCTTTCTGCAAGTCTCGTCGTGTCAATGTGACGATCAATGGGAAAGAGTGTCATAGCCATAGAGATGAGGAAGTGAATGCCAAGATGTCTGTATCTCGAGGAGTGGAGACAACTTCCATTCCAGTGGAAGTTTTGATTCCACCAACTTTCTGGAAGAATTGGTTGGAAGTCTGCCGGAGGGGAACTTGTAGCTCACTGCAGCCCACCTTACTCAAATCACCGCTAGCTCAGAGTGAATGAGCCTCACCTCGAAAGGGGGTGTGAAAGTGTGTGAGGTAGAGAGGTGCAGGCTAATGCAGTACTGTGAGGTTTGTGCTTTCGGAGTGCATAGTTTTGCATTTTGAGTGTTTGAGCAAGCGTTCCTTACCGGAACTTTGTGTTTCGAAGTGTTTTGAGAGCTTTGGAGAGCATAGCTCACGGAATGTACAATGTTTGGAAGCTTTGTGAACAGAAGTCTTTGTAGTTTTTGTAGTGTGAATGTTTCTTGAAGAGTTTTGTGCATGTTTGAGTGCGTTTAAGCTCGACACTTTCAGTGTCTCGCATGGGAATAGTTTGTGTGCAGGAATGCCTCATAGCCTTTTGTACTTTACTTTGGCTCAAGGCCCAGAGAGTGCGCGTAAAAGGTGTGCGAGTGCTTTTGCGTTGCTTGTGAGCTGTTGCACGCGCTTTCGCTTTGTGTAGGACGTTTGTAATCTACTTACTTAAGGTAGTAAGTTTTTCAGTCATGCACCTGTTGTGGGTGGACTCCCGTTATCGCAGGAGTGCGAAGGTCAGCTGTTGTATGGACCGTGTTTTCATGTGGAAGCGGAGCCCCGAAGATCCTGCCACACCAGGAAAAGCTGCTCATGCGGGTATCTTTCGGGCGTGCTCTTCAGCAATGGCTGCCATGACCGCGTGGCAAAACGGCGAGTCACCCGCCAATACATCTGGAGCAGGAAAGACCCACTCCAATGAAGCAAACCTTTGAGAAGCTGCTGGATGCCGAACCTTTCAAGGATGGAATTCAAAGGGAAATGTGTCCCCTTTGTGGCATACCTCTTGCGCCGCCTGAGTGTGTATTGAGGCAGCTAGGACTAACATTCCGTTTGTGATCCACTCAGGAGAAGCATTTAGAGGAGCTGTGCCGTTCCAAAACGGCAAGTGTTTTGTGAACCAACCGACTTCCACGTAGCAAACCTTTCTTGAGTAGCATTCAGCGGGCGAAGTGCCAAAGCCAAGAAAATTAGAGCAGGAAGGACCTGCTCCAATGCAACAAACTTTTGTGAGCCACTGGATGCTAAAATGGAGAGGAGTAAGGGGACATTCCAATCATTTGGTGAGCCAGCCAATAAAGCGGCTAACGGGCGAAATGTAATTCCAATGCAGCATACCTTTTGTGAGCCACTCCAAAGCCACAGTAATATTTTTGATTACCATGACATTTTTTATACAACTACCCCTCCGGGAATCTTGTTTTTGAGTCCTATTTTGATCCCCTGGCCGGTGTGGCACTGTTTGAAGCAACCCCGCAAATTTAGCATGCATGCTGCATACATGAAAAACTATGAAGGACTAAGGTGGTGCAAAAATAGTCCAGGCCAACATAAACGAGCGCCACATCAAACACACAAATTTTGATTTTGGTTGAGCAGTAGAAGCAGGGCAACATTTTAAACAAATCCTTCACTTGTCGTTGGCGTGCTGTTTGATCAGTCAGTACGCGGCGGTTTGAATGCTTTAAGCAACATGTTGGTGTGGCAATGTTTTTGCTCTTTGCGGTGTAAGGCCAAGACATAGATCCAAGGAGGCAACCAAACAAAACATTTCATGGCTGTTTTTCAACCAGCAAATTCTTGCTGATCGCACATTCTCAAGGGTTACACGTGAAACATGAATGACACACACGTACACCAACAGCAGTTTCGAAGGACTACTGGCCCACGTTCTGTGGCAAGTAAAGAAACTTGGATGGAGATCGCGCAGCTTCGCACAATTCCAGGTTGGGTGCTTGCACGGTGTTCCATCGTTTGGAATCTCAAGTCAGCTTGTTTTTTTTGTATATCCCTGGCTGAGTAATGCAGAGACGTTATACAATTAAGACATTGGCCTCTTCTTTTGACAACATTGCCTGCATTTCCACGGGTTCGCTGTGATAGGCGCATGTGCACGCCAAGCACCAGGGCTGCAGGTGGGGAATCCGGTCGATTCCTGCAAGTGGTTTCGATCCAGATGTTGGCAGGTTCCTCTATGGGACGAAAAGATGGAATCAACCAGATACCAGGGGGGAAAAAACAAAAGACAAGGACCAAAGCAACCATTCAGGCACACAAAGATGCCAGGTGAAAAGGATATTCTCAGCAGTTGACGTCTCTTGTAGACAAATTTCATTTACTTCGCAGAGCAGGTTGTTAATGTGTTTGTGCCCTTCATGCCGTCACAGGTACGACAGACTTGGAGTGGAGAAAGAGTCAAGAGCCAGTCGGGCCAGCAGGGCCGGTTTCCCTTGGCAGCCTTGGCGTTTCCAGTGCTCGGAAGGCGAGACAGAAGTGGCCGGAGTTTTCATTCCTGCGCGTCACATGTTCAGATTACTCAATCCTACACAAAAAGAATCCAAGGTCACGAATACACTCACGACTATCCATTGGGTTGCGATGATTAAGTACAATTGCAGAACGAACTTCTTTCATGAAATTTCAGTCTTCATGTCCTATAGACTGCGTAGACTTCTGGTTGATTGTGGAATAGCTTGAATAAGCAAAGCCCTGCCAGCTACGCAGAAACACAGATGAAAGTGTTGTTGTTGTTGTGGTTGGCGTTGTCGTTGTCGTTGTCGTTGTGGTTGAGGTTGTTGTAGTTGTAGTTGTAGTTGTAGTAGTAGTAGTAGTAGTAGTAGTAGTAGTAGTAGTAGTAGTTGTAGTTGTAGTTGTAGTAGTAGTAGTTGTTGTTGTTGTTGCTGTTGCTGTTGCTGTTGCTGTTGCTGCTGCTGCTGGTGCTGCTGCTGCTGCTGCTGGTGCTGGTGCTGCTGCTGCTGCTGCTGCTGGTGCTGGTGCTGGTGCTGTTGTTGTTGTTGTTGTTGTTGTTGTTGTTGTTGTTGTTGTTGTTG